GCATCTTGTTTCCATTATTCCCCAGCCCTCCTCTTCTCATCTAGTCAGTGGCTGTGAGTAATACCCAGCTGGAGAGAATAGTCATTGTTTAAGTGGCTGTCTTTTGGCCTGAGGGTTTGGGGGTATGTTGATACTTGTCGGTTACTATGACTTCTTTTTTTTCCCCCCTCAATTGCATCAAACCCTTAAAACATGGTGGTAAGTGAGTGATATGCATGCTTTTGGAGTTTGTTTAATCTCCGCTTCAGTCTATACGATGCACAGTTCATAATGTTAACACTTTTCTTCAAGTTTACTTCATTCACTTTCACAACTAATTTGGATTTCAGTTTGCTGTTTAATCCTCGTTTACTTTAATTTTTGTACCTTTTTTCTGTAGTTCTGTTCTTTCCCTCTCTCCTGATTTCCCTGTTAGGGGTCAAGTTGTTGTTTTGTTTGACCTGTAAAGAGAGTGGTGCTGCAGATAGTGGTTCAGGTTAGGGAAATGGGAAACCTGAGGCTCTTTGTTCCTTGTAAATGTGAAAGTGAATTTGGGGAGAGAGATGAAGGGACTGTGAGATGTAGACACTGTTGTGTACAGCAGCTGCTCCCACTTGCAGGCATGGCAGCTACACCAGAGCCACTCTTGCTAAAACCCCTTCATGCAGCCCTTTGCACGTTAATCGGCTTGTTGGGCTGGGAAATGACGTTATTAGTCAGGCACCAGGGTGTACATACATCCGCATTACTGAAGAAAGAAAAGCTCATGGTGTGAAGTGCTTGCGTTGGTGCTGACAGTGTCATGCTTTGAAAAGATGAGCTTGGCGATCGCGATTCCCTCTCCCCTGCTTTTTTTTTCTCTTAAAATTGGGAGTAGATTGGTGATATTCTTGAATCAGCTATCTTGCTTTAGAATTTTGTATTTTCAGGTACACAGCCAGAGCACTAAAAATACTCTTAAGTTTGCTCCTGTCAGTCCCTGCAGTGCTGAGTTCCTAGCATGTAGCTGGGTTGGCTTGGCCGGGATGGTGAGCATGTTAGGTTGTTGCGGTGAGGGAGGATGTAGGCCAGGCTCGTGTGTCTCAGTGCCTGGTACGTCTCTGTATCATTCCACTGTATGACAGCACCCAGGTGTCTTGGGTGTCTGAGTCTTAGTTCGTTCTCTGTACTGTTCAGTAGTGTACTGTTTTCAGTAGTAGAATCCTGTGGACACTGGTGTGTTGCTAGCCTATTGTTTTGGCTGATAAGTCATTGGTTTGTGGTTAGTTTTGTTTCTGTTTTTGTTTTTTTTGTTGTTGTTTTTGTTTTTTTTTTTTTGAAATCTTTTTTGCTCCAGTCACTGTGTGTGCTGGCGGTGGCTTTGCCTCTCCGTTGCCTCGAAGGAACAGGTGGAGCAATGTCTCCCTCTGACAGACATTACTCCTGACGTGTGCTCTTGCAGATGCCTACACTGAGACTGTAATCTCCATAACTGCTTCATGTGCACCAAGCCCCCTTGTGGAATCCTGCTGAGAGTTTTTCTAGAAACCTTCAGTTCCGAATCATTTAGTCTACCTGACTTTTGTAAAATAAAAAGAAACTAAGAGCACTTAACTTGTTCCCCCACCTTTATGGGCCTTTAAAAAATTATTGTGTGTCTGTGTATATATGTATACACAAACACACAAACATGTATACACACACACATATAACCCTGATTAAAGGGGACCAAGTTGCCCTTAGTTGAAACAGGAAAGAAAAACTTCGTAAATCAGAATCAGAAAATACCAATTTAAGAAGGCACCTAAACTCAGATAATGTAAGTGTTTTGATTTAAAAAAAAAAGATAACTCATGGCTCATCTGGGTTCAGGTTCTGGTTTTGGCCAGGGCACAAGAATGAGCCTGTTTTTCTGTCTGAAGTCTTTTCTAGAGGGATGTCAGCACTACTCAGCTTTCTCTGGTCTGTCACAGAACATCCTCTACTCTGCACACACTTGGTGCTGGCACAGCCCAGCCTGACTGGCCCACTATTAGGTTGAACTATTGTGGCTTCCTCTATCTTATTCTCCAGACTACAGAACAGCAGGAGCAGTGTCCTGTGGGGAAGAGAGGATGTGTGGCTAAACGTATGGCACATACACATCCATCTTACATTGCAGGATTGAGTCAAAACTATGCATGCATTCACCACAAGAAAACAAACAGCAGGATTTTACAACTGAAATGTTGGTCTGTCTTCTCATCTATTTAAGAGTGAACCACTGGAACTTGGGGACAAGATGAGTATAATAATATTGCAGCCTATCTGTCCGCTACAGTTGCAGTTTTTCATGACAAGCATTCAAAGTGTTAACTAAAACCATTGAAACAGCATACCTGCCATTAAAAACCTGAATCTAGAAATAATAACTCCATGAGTGTTTTGCACCTCCAGATGGAATGGCCTTGAATAAATGCTATGAATAGCCATGTTTGCCACTTGCCATTTGCTGTTCTATTAACCCTGATGCAGAGTCTCACAGTTTTCTCCCTTCTTCTCCTGTCTCTCAATGGATTATTAAAACCTGAATACCTGTGTAGACGATGAACCAGCTGGGCCAATGTAAGTACTTTGTTGGACTTTGGTTCAGTAGTTTCTGGTTGGGTTATTTTGTATTTGCAGTTTAATTAAAGGGCATAGCTAAGATTGTAGGGGAAGACAGTGAGTGGAAAGCAGTGTTGCAGTGTAGACTTCTTAGCTGGACATGGAGCTGACTGATAGCCCTTTGATTCCCAGGACAGGCTGTACAGTTTTGTCCTTAGTAGCAGTATAAAGTGGAATACCATGCAAAAAAAAATGTTTAAAATTCTGCACACCCCATATGTTTAAATTGATACTGTGGGGGAAATGACCAGTGTATCTGAGGCTTCAGGTTTTGTTCATTTCAAGCTAGACTGTAGCATGGATAAACTGCCTGGCTCCATTAAATTGTGGGTATTCAAGAGAGACAAAACTACAAATTTCAAATCAATCCAAGATTTGCACTCTTTCCTAGAGCTGGGGACTAAGAAGTCAGAGGCAGAAGTGTGCTCAAATTAGTTCAGTGCCAGAGTGCCCTGCCTGTATATAATTAAGAAGAGACGAGACAGTGGTGTTGAGTAGAGAAAAAACTACTAACTCACTTTTGTCATAATTATAGTTTATAAATCAAAGCCCATGTTACCTGGGTATTATCTGCCTTGGGAGTCAAAAGGATCGATTAAGGTTGTAGGCACTTTACACAGGGTGTATTAATTGTGTATTAATATCATGCAGTAAAATTTCTTACTATACCGGGGATGGCAGTAAGTGAAAGAGTCCCTGTATTTCCATGTGTTATACTTTGAAAAGTTGCTACTGACCTTGAGCTTAACTCTTGTAATGCAATTTCTCCTCCAAAGGAAAACCAACTCTACCAACAATCACAAAGATAAAAACTTGCGCCAGAGAAACACAAATTAAATACTACTTATAATGTAAGTATGGACTTCTTTAGAAGTTTTAAGTTATATTCAAATGAATGTGCCTCTTTTGACTTTATCACAAAGTCTTCAATAGCTGATGTTATGTTGCAAGATCTTTCAGTTGATTTCAGAGCTTCCAATACTGACGGAACAAGTTGTCTGTCCAGTGAAGCAGCTGGAAAGGAACATTTTCAGCTGAGTTGTAAAACATAGATGCTTTTCAGAGTGTGTCTATGATGTTTCAAAGCATCACCTTACCTCTTTACTTCTTTAAAAAGAGGTAAAAGTTAAATTGTCACCTTCTTAGGTGGATTATTCCTGAGGCCACTTTGCTTGGTCCCACTTTGCTTCCGGGGGCAAGGCAAGAATGGTGGCCAGGCACAGCTGGGCCAGAGTGCCTACTGCTTAGGCACATGGAGATCAGAATTTCACACCACATCCCTGAGCATGCTGTTTGAACCAAAGCTTTATGTGGTGCTTGGTGTACTATTAAGTAACAGTGCATGTTCCCTTTTAATTTCTAAATACTTTCTTCACAGATCTTTAGGTTCCTGAAACTGGTGGCAACATGACCTGCTAAATTTTCTGCTTGGACCTCTTTGGTTCTTTCCCCTTTCAAGTGAGCAGCACCATGATGACTGTCTAAAGCATGCCTTATTTAGCCTCTCCTGTAAGGGTGATCTAGCCAGGTACATTTTAAATAATGCTTCAGTGTAGAAGGTGTAAACTATTTTGGGCTTGATGTGCTGTGAATGTTGCTTTTATTTTTTATTTTTTGTTAAAATATTTAAATAGAAGTGAAAAGGTGATCTCTGAGGGTCAGATCATGCATGCGCCATTTTTTACTTAATGCAGCTGTTAAATTGGCAAAGCTCTAAAATGCACTGCTGCCATCTAGTGATACATTTTTGTAAAGTACAGCAAAACATACAGATATATACAGTATATAAATATATATATATATATTTATATTTTTTGGGGTGGGAGAAATCCAAAATAAATGCTTGTTTCATTTTTAAGCTGCTGATACTCATTCCTTATTGTATGTTGTCAGATGAGGAAATTGTTCAGTTCTGGTACATAAAGATGAGTAATATAAACTGAAATCTATAATTTTAAGGGCTTAACCTATGACTTTGATAAGAAGCTGGAACAATTCACTGAATGGATATAATGAATTACAGTATATATGTATGATTGCTTTTAAAGTGATTATTTTTTCTTTTGTTAAATCATGTAAATTCCTAAATCCTTTTGCACTGATGTGTTAAAACCTAATTGTACATTCAGTTAAGGCAAACTTTTATAATTTACCTTTTGTTTTCAATGATCTTGAAATGTTATAGCATGGTATTCTATGCAACTAGTTATTCTTTGAGGTTGACACTGTATTTTTTCATTGATTCGAGTGTAGATTTTCACGCCCAGCAGGGTTCCCACGCGGTGTGTAATTGGTAGATGCATGTACTTGTGTTTTGTGTAATTGCTGAAGTGCAATGATGTAAAAAAAAACAAAAAGTGGATTCACCTGTTTTTAAAAATAAAACTGATAAAAGGTGTTGGAATAATACTCTTTATTCTCTACAATCTTAGGATGAAGTATTTTTCCCCATTGCTCCCAATTTCTGTGTGTACACAGACTTAATCACTCAGCCCTGTCAGCTTTTTTAGTTCCTTTTCCACTTCTTCCACAAATGCCGGGAAGTTCTGATCCATGAGGCACAAGCGTAGAAAGGGGCCTAATCCTTGTGCATTCCATGCAGATTGTTCATAGACAAGGGGCAGCTCCTCTGATGCCATGAGAGACTGTGGGGATTCCAAAAGAGTAGTTTATTAGAGAGTTCAGGGGAAAGCAACAGCCTGAATATTGGAACACAGGAAAACTGCCTTTCGGTAAGATTCGGGAAGTGAGACACCAAAAGCCAGTGTTCCTTTACATGATGTTTCTAATTTATACATACAGAGTGAGATAAACTGGTATCCTTAGTATTTCAAGTATACTAAAAGTGATTTGCAAAGATACTGACTGCTTTAATGAAGAGTACAGTGCTGATTAAGTTTGTGGATTGAGAAGTCTATCAATGAATGAACTCCACTTAGTTCATCCTTCCCGCCTAATAGGTGGAAGAATGGATGTGAGCTGTTCATCATATGGAAATTGGGTTCTGAATGTAATAAAGGTTACAAACTGACTATCCCGAGGACACATCTCGCTGTGTCTTTCTCTGGTTCTGTCCATGAGGCTTGACAAGTAGAGGCATGTGTCCATTGCTAAATGAAGGCACAACACTTCCATCACCCCCCAAAATTCCCTCATTGCTATCTGCTCTTATTGTTAAACCCTCAACTCTTAGCAACTATGATCTGTCCTCCATACTGTATATAGTTTTGCCTTTTCTGGAATGTCATACAAATGATGTCATATAATACTGCACGTTTTTCACATGCTTATTTGTCATCTCTCTGTCGTCTTTGGTAACCTGTAGTATTTTAAAGTCAGTTGACTAAGCTGCCAATATTTAAACATGAGGAGAGTTTAAAAAAAAAAAGTCTGTGACTGTGCTTGGCAAATTGGAAGATTACGCAAAAGATGCACCGACCCAAGCAATGAAGATGGCTTCAGCTCTTTGTGTGGTCCACCTACCTCTGAGCCTTGACTTAGCCTTCTTTTTCACTCCTCATGTTAATTCTGCTAGATAGGTAGGTTTTCTACCCTTTCCATGGATTGCATGGTTTGGTGTATATGTATACAGTTGACATTTCTCAAGGAACTATCTATAATAGAAACTGACTTTTCTAAATTCAAACCAGCTTTTCAGACTATCTAAAGGTAGAAAGAAGAAAATGAAAGTCAAATGAAGCCCTGTTCTTCAGTGAGAGCCACTATTAACATGGTAGTATTATCTCCTTCCAAATTTATTTCGTGTGTGTGTCTTTACTACAAAAGTCAAATCATGTGTGCTGTTTTGTAGCCTTTAAAAAACAATGTACTATGAATATCTTCCATTGTCAACAGATTAAGACAGATGTCACTTTTTATTGACTACATTTTATCCCGCTTATGGTTATGGCACTTTTTAACCACTCAGTGTCCCATTAGTGAATAATTGTTCCTATTTTGTTACTATTAAAATTACTGAAAAACATCTTTGTATGTATATTTGTGTAGATGAAATGGTATTATAGGTAATAAGATATTAAATTTTATCTACATTGCTAAATGGCTTTCAAAGAATTTTACCAATTTATATTCAAAGAATGACTTGTCTAGAAGGTTATAGCAAACAAGTAGCATATCTGAGCTAGCCTGATACTTTTTCTTTATACGTGGTTCTTCTATATGCTATAAATAAATTGGACCGAGGTTCATCTTCTATAGTAACTGATACTTCCTGAATAAGGATATCGCACCCTACTCTGCTCATGTTTTTCTGTGGCTTAGTCACTCTGATTCAGTTAACCTATAATCCTGGTGCAGATACAAGGCTACAAACTGGGAGTTATGAAGTCTGCCCTGCTGCTCAAAAACAAGGTTTCTAAATTTTGTCATAGTTCTGACTTACTAAAGGAAATAGACATGAATTCTTATTTAGTCTTAATTTTCAGGTTTTAAAATCTGTGACTGCCCATTTATTTTGCATGAGTGGTGTGCCAGGTGGAGAAACACCCATATCTTCTTGTGCCAGGTGGAGAAACACCCATATCTTCTTTCTTACACCACTGTTAGCACAGGTTAATAGATAAAGTAAAAAGGAAACTTAGGAAAATTGGATATTGATGAATTCCATGCAGAATTTTAGGGACAGCATAAACTGTTGGCTGAGAACCTGCTGTTAAGCACAGCAGGGAATGCATTGAGGAGACGACCAGCCTCAGGAACCCTGAGCCTGAATGAATAGTTCTGCAAGAGTGTTTGATAACAGGAAAATTCAAGTGGAGAGGCCACATCCAAAAGCAGTTCTGTGGTAACAGAGCGGAGTCTTCCTGGGGCTTCATACATCCTTAACCTGAGATCCTCACACTGAAGATCTGCCCCTACAGAAACCATAGTTGAATCGATTTCAAATTCATATTGATATTTGTCTTAGAAGAGTTTCCAAATTTCATTTCCAAAGTTAAACTGAAATTCTTACCTTTATTCCTCTCTAAGGATGGTGGTGAATAAATTGTTTATCTCACACATTTAAAGGCTAACATTATAGACCACTTTCTGTCTTTTATTTCCTCAGGAAGATAGTTCTTCAGTATGTGCCATCATGTCTAACCTCACAACAAGGATAGGTGGAAGTGGCCTGTCTCTGTCTTTACCATCTTCTACAGTAACACTTTAAAGTTACTGTTCTAGAACAGAGGATTGAACAGAGGGATACAAAGTTCTTCGGGATCACTGTTTTCCTGACATGAAAACCGAATATGGAAGTAGGCCCTACCTGAGCTAACCAGGCCACCGAGGTCCTTCCTCCCGGACTGCTTGCGTCAGCCGGCACCCTCTGCTGCTGCTCTGAGTTCTGCAGTGAAACAGCATGCAATTAGACTGGCTGAGCATCATCATAAATACCGCAGGCCATTAAAGCAGTGGAACACATGCATTAAAATGTTAAAGAGAATCAGTAAAGGTGCTAAAGTCATTGTCGGTGTAGTCCTGGTTTAAGCTTGGCTGTTGCCTGATTTACCACAGCAGAGACACAGAGAGGAAATCTGAGGCACCGCCCTGTGCCTGCTGTCCTTGGGTCTCACAGGCTGGTAGTGCCTTTTCCTGCCTGACACCCTGGCATACTTCTGTCTTAAGAGGCCCAGCCCAGGACCATGTGCTGGTACTGGAGGGCAGTGGACATTGCCCAGCTTCTGATAATTTATAGAAGGTGACAAACTATGATTATTACTCGGGTAATATACATGTTCCTTGTAGAAAAGCAAAATGGGGGCGGGGGGAACACTATAGTTGCAAGATAACCATATCTTGTAACTTCTTAAAAAAATCTCATTTTAGACATTCTGAGGTTATGAATAAGTTCTTCTGTTAGTAAAATTCCTAGATATATTCATTCAACAATGTTTGTGTATACTGTGCACTAGACACTGGGATGAAAAAAGGAAGGGAGCCACAGAAAACAAGGTAGAGGTCTGGCCTGCAAGAACCCACAACCCAGTAAGAAACTAACAAGTAAACAACTTGAATGAAACTGAGGAAGTGCTGGCATGGAGGGGAGTGTAAGACTTCAGGCTTGTAGTGGAGGGCAGTACAGGAAGAGTATGTGTGCTAATAAGCATGAGGGGTAGGAATGCTCCAGAGCCTGAGCTTACTTCTTACCGGAGGGGCTGTTCTTAAGCAGAACTGGGGGTGTTTTCTAGGCAAACAGAATGAACAAGGTGTAGGAGGAAGCCTGGAGGCATTAGAGGCTGCTTCTACCTAAAAACAAAAACTTCTCCAAGAGCCCCACCACCCTTCCTTCCTCGCCACATGACTGCAGGCTTAGCTGTGTTCTGGAGAGCAGTGGCACTTAGGGTACTAATAATCTCCAGACAGTTGTGAGCTGGTGGTATCACACAGGGAGAACCCAAGGCCTGCCCTGGAAGGTGTGTATCAGCAGTACGTTCTGACTGCCAGAGTAAATGTCCTGCTAACTTCAGTGGGTGCTGGCAGAAATGTATATCTGAAGCATCAAAAATGGGGTGGTGGGACAGAGGAAGAAAAGAACAAAGGAAAGAAAACTAGTTAGGAATACTAAATAAAAATGAGCTAAAAGGTAAGGCGCTTTAATGAGTCTGGAATCCTTAGGCAAACCCCATTTTTCCTCATCCAGAAAAGTCAGATTCCACTGCTTAGTGTTTCTTCCAGCTCTGATGTCTCTAGGAGACATCAGTTCAGCTCACACCATGTTCTTCAAACAACTTCAAATAACCAAAACTCATATGCCACATACACTGATCTACAGCCAAGTGTGATGGAAGCAGAGGAAGTCAGTAGGATGGCTCTAAGGACTGGACAGTCCTCCATCTAAGTGCACACAGATGGCAGGTCCTGCGCACACAGTAACAAGCCCCTGGCTGCCACTTCCTGGACTCCTAGTGCTAGCAGAGGAGGAGTTCATCTAGGAACTGCCGTAGGCTGGGTTGCCTCAGAAGCCCTCAGGTTGAGAAACACCTGGTTAGGCCACAATTAGCAAAATTACAAGGCAGAGGAAAAGTAAAAATACAAGCCAGGAAGTGACTCAAGAACCTGAAAAAAAGAAAAAGATACGGAATTACCTCTAATTTGCAAAAAAAAAAAAAAACTATTTTAGACAAAAGTAATACAGGTACTGGGAAAAAGATACCTGAATGAGGAGAGCTGCAAGATAACTAAAGCCTGGACAGAGCTTGCACCTCTGGAGCTGGACTGTGTAAAAGGGAGCACGATACCAAATCTGAACGGCGGAAGCTAAGGGCAGGCCTTAGGAGTTTTGTCTCCTGCTCTGCAGCCTTAGACACTCCATCTCACTGTGGCCCTACTGACTGGTGAGTGCTGACCCTTGATAATAAATGACTGGTATGCTTATTTGTTCACCTGCGAAGCAAGGCAGATCTGAAAAGGTAACAGCACTGGCAGTAATAATGAATCATCTTATTTAGATACTTGCCAGGTATTGTCCTAGGTGCTTTATAGACAGAATTGTAGTCTCACCGTGTGGTAAGTGACTTGCATGAGAACACATAGCTACTAACAGGCAAGGATTCCAACCTAGATCCATGTGGATTCCAAAGCCTATATAGTCTTTTGCACAACATTCTACATCTCATCTACCCAGAACACCCAAACTACAGATCCAAGGAGGCCTTGAATACAGAATCAAGAAAAGACATGAACATTTTCTAGCTGCTTTGGGGATATTTCTACCTAGGTATTTGGGATGAGCTTAAATAGAGGGCCAGGGCCTTCATCTGCCACTGTAGTTAAAAGACCCACAGCCTACTTTAAGGTACTGTCTCAGTTTTTCTTTTTTTAGATAATTGTATTCAGGTTCTACCCTGACGTGTGTATGTCTTTACTATGTGTATGTCCTCTATGTCATTACCTTCATGAGGCATTCCAGACCTAGTTCCCAGATGCTGGGGCCTTATTTGGTTCTGTTGCACCCCATGCATGCACTGGGTACTATAATCTCAATCTAACAGCTGGTCAGTGACGCCTACAAAGAAAGGCAATCTATTTAAGGGGTGAAAGATCGTAAGCATCAAAGTATCTTATAATAAGCCATATCATTCCATTTTTAGAGAGGGGATTCTTAATAAAACAGAAGCTGATGAGGCAAAATGTTTTAAATTAGATCCAAGATTTGTAAGAAAACCAGCTTTAGTGTTGACATGTTCACAGAAAGTCATGCAGAAATGAATGGGAAGAATTCTAAAACATTAAAATATGATATGGCAAACTAAATATAATCAAAGGGAAACCATACAGTACTCATTTAAAGAAAAACATTTTATGATAATATAAAATCTGTTTGCCCCAGATACACTATAAAAAGAAAGTTGGTGATAAAACAGTAAAAAGGAATTGTCTTGGTCCAGTTAGTTTAAGGGGAACTTACAGGTTGAAGTAATGGAAAGCCAGGTTTGGAAAGTCATTGCTCAAAATAGATAAAAAAAACCTAGCCTGAAACTGGAATTTCATCCTAAGAGCAGAGGTAACCTATGCTAGCAGCATGTGGGACTATGCCAACGAAATGCTTGAAGATGTACCTGCAGGAGAAATTCTATAACTGATTCTCAAAAGTTTTATCACAAGACTCCTTTACATTCCTACAAACTACTGAGGCCCTCAGACAGCTTTTGAATTACATCTATCTGATATTTATATGTTAGGAATTAAAACAAATTTTAACTATTCATTTAAAATTATAAATCCATTATGTTAGTATTAAAAACTTTAATGAAAATAACTTTCCTAACACAAAAATACAATGATTTTTGCAATTCTCTTTTAATATCTAGCTGGACTCTCATATTTACCTCTGCACTCAATCTGACAACATATTGCTTTGGTTGAAGTACGTAAAATCTGACTTCATACAGATATATAGATGGAAAAAGTTATTTTTTAAAAATGTTTTTCAGGTAATTATGGATACTCTGATCTGACATCAAAATTCAATAAGTGATAGTTTCTTAAAGGCTAGTTTCAACACAATCTTAAATCATAGCAATGAACTTTTTATATTATTATATTAAAATCCTTTGGTCTGAGGAATCTCTGGACTGTTCCATAGCAGCTGTGCCAGTTTACGTTCCCACCAAGAGTGTACCAAGGGTTCCCTTTTCTCCATACCTTGACTTTTTGACAACAGCCATCCTGATAGATGTGAGGATATCTCATTGTGGTTTTGATTTGCATTTCCCTGATACGGGACGCTAAGCATCTTTTCATCTGTCTGTTAGGTATCTGTATGTCTTTAGAAAAATGTCTGTTCAGGCCCTCTGCCCATTTTATAATTTTTTTTATGTTGATTTGTATGAGTTCTTTTCAGTATTTTGAATAGTAACCCTTTATCAGATATACCATTTGCAAATATCTTCTCCCATTCAGTAGGCAGCCTTTTTGTTAATAGCTTCCCTTGTTGTGCAACAGTGATCACAAAAAACAGTGATTTTTTTTTTTTTTTTTAGTTTTGCTTGTATTTCCCTTGCTTGAGGAGACCCATAAAAATATTGCCAAGACCGATATCAAAAAGTGTACTGCCTATGTTTTCTTCTAGGAGTTTTATGGTTTCAGGTCTTATGTTTAAGTGTTTAATCCCTTTTGATTTTATTTTTGTATGATTTTATATGGTATGAGAAAGTCCAGTTTTCCCAACACCATTTATTGAAGAGAAATTTAAAAAAAAACCCACAGGACTAGCATATGATACAGTAATCCCACTTCTGGGTATTTTTCCAAAGAAAACAAAAACATTCAAAAAGATATATGCACCCCTATGTTCACTGCAGCAATATTCACAGTAGCCAGGATATGGGAGCAAATTAACCCTAAGTGTTTGTTGATAGATGACTGGATAAAGAGAATGTGATATTATTCAGCCATAAAAAAGATCTTGTCACTTGTGACAAAAATGGATGGACTTAGAAGATATTATGCTAAATGAGAAATATAAATAAATATGCAGATGACACCACCCTTATGGCAGAGAGTGAAGAGGAACTAAAGAGCCTCTTGATGAAAGTGAAAGAGGAGAGTGAAAAAGTTGGCTTTTCAGTCCTGGGTGTTCATTGGAAGGACTGATGCTGAAGCTGAAACTCCCAATACTTTGGCCAACTCGTGTGAAGAGCTGATTCATTGGAAAAGACCCTGATGACTGGGGGCAAGAGAGAAGGGGATGACAGAGGATGGCTGGATGGCATCACTGACTCGTTGGGCATGAGTTTGAGTAAACTCCGGGAGTTGGTGATAGACAGGGAGGCCTGGTGTGCTGCGATTCATGGGCTTGCAGAGAGTCGGACACGACTGAGCAACTTAACTGACTGAACTGAATGCTAAATGAAGTAAATCAGAGAAAAGTACTGTATGATTTCACTTATATGTGGAAATTAAAAGGCATGAATAAACAACTAGACTCAAGAGAGAGAATAAACAGATGGTTGCTAGAGGAGAGGGGAATGGGACAGTAAAATAGAGAAATTGGTGAGGGAAGTTAACAGATACAAAAACAAACAATCCATTGAACAAAAACAAACAATCCATTGATGTAGTTCATACTTCGGATCTTTCATCCATGCATGGTTTTGTAGAACCATGTATTTGCCATTTGAAAAATACTGGTTCACTGGATTGTACAGATCTTCCACATGTTGAAACATTTTGTGATGTAGTTATTTTAAAAATCATGTTCATTACCAGTACCATCAAGAAAGTCTTCTGGGTTAGGAAGCTATGAAGCTCAAGCAGATACAAGTTTTCCAAGATTCTAATTTTCACTTGAAATGGTTATTTCATCATTGTCAAATACTATCAATTGTCTTCTTGAAGTAACAGGATTACTACATTCACTTGAGAAAATGGCCACCAGCCACCCAAATCTGAATAATCGTAGTTCGTCTGTTGTTAAGTGGGAATGGTGTTCCATAAAGAGAGTCTGGTTCAGCACCCAGTGCTGCCATACGGGTGCTTTCCTAGGAGAAAGCCGCCATGCTTCAGAACGCAGATGATTTTGTTAGCTGGTTCTTACTGCAGTGACAGTGAAGAAAGAACACGACTACTGGAACGGCTAGATGCCACCGCCTTGATCTATGCCAAGGTAACAGGAGCTTTGCTCACAATGCTTTTATCCCATTAAATAACAAGTATCAATACAGGAAAAGGACAAATAATCTGTTAATATTATTGCAGAAATAATATGGACTTTGTGGACTCCTGAAAAGGTCTCAGGGAAGGGTCCATGGATCATACTCTGAGAACCACTGTACTATAGTAACACCCATGATACACCTGAAACTCCCAGCTAATCTAATTTCTAGCCTTATAGGTAACTACAGTGAGAATCAACCTTGAATTAAAAAAATAACTCAGTGTTTTCTTTGGAATAATGTCTATTCAAGTCCTCTGCCCATTTTTTAATCAGATTGTTTTATGATACTGAGTTGTATCAGTTCTTGTTATTTTGGGTATTAACCCTTTACTGGATGTATCATTTGCAAATACCTCCTCCCACTCAATATGTTGTCTTTTTGTTTTGTTGATCATTTTCTTTACTATGCAAAGCTTTTTAGTTGGATTTAGTCCCATTTGTTTGTTTCTTTTGTTGCCCTTGCCTGAGGCACATGAAAAGATGCTCAACATCACTCATCATCAGAGAACTGCAAATCAAACCACAAGATAGTACCTCACAACTGTCAGAATGGCTATCAGAAAGACAAGAAGTAAAGTGTTGGTGAGGATGTGGAGAAAAGGGAACCCTTCCTTAGGCACTGCTGGTGGGAATGTAAATTGGTAGATACTATGGAAAACAGTACGGTGGTTTCTCTAAAAATTAAAAACAGAATTATATGATCTAGTAATTCCACTTCTGGGTATTATCCAAAGAAAACAAAAACTAATTCAAAAAGATATTTTCCCCCCTGTGTTTACTGAAGCATTGTTTACAGTGGCCATAGATGAGGTATGTGTGTGTATATGTATACACACACACACTGAAATAGATACAAAAATGAGGTGTGTGTGTGTGTGTGTGTAGGGTGGGCCAAAAAGTTCGTTTAGGTTTTTCCCTATGATGTTAGAAAAACCTGCATGAACTTTTTAGCCCACCCAATATATACACAATAAAATATGTAGTATCTAAAAACAAATATAAAATGACTCATAAACACAGGGAACAAATATGGCTGCAGAACTGGGGGGGGGGNGGGGGGGCAAACCAGGTGAATGAGATTATGAAGCTCAAACTTCCCGTTATAAGTGAATGGGCTTCCCTAGTGACCCAGTGGTTAAGAATCCCCCTGCCAATTCAAGGGACATGGGTTCGGTCCCTGGTATGGGACCCCACATGCGGTGGAGCAACTAAGCAAGCCCATGTGCCACAACTACTGAAGCCCCCGCGCCTAGAGGCCGTGCTCTGCAACAAGAGAAGCCACTGCAATGAGAAGCCCACACACTGCAACTGGAGTAGCCCCACTAACTGCAACCAGAGAAAACAGAAGTCCGCACAGCAATGAAGACCCAGTGCAGCCAAAAATAAATAAGTCTTTTTTAAAAAAGTAAAAAATGAGTCACAGGGATATAATGTACAGCACAGGGAATATAGTCAATAATATTGTAATACTTTTATATGGTGACAGATGGTAATTAGATGTGATCATTTTGTATAAAAATATCAAATCACTATATTGTATACATGAAACTATGATTATATATATGTCAACAAAAGTCAGTCACTCAACATTAGATATCTTTAAGCTACAAATGTGGTGGACGTGGCAAATTCCACTGTGATTTTGGCCCCCACAGCATTACCTTCTCAGGTTTCTCATCCACCTTGCCATACTGTGGTGGGATGCTCTGCACACAGCGCTTCCCCTGGTCAGGACTTGGCCTGAACTCCTGGCTGATTCCGTCAGGCACCTGGACGGTGATGTACTGGGCTAGGTTCTGCACGCAGCTGTAGCAGTGTTCCAGTGCCTGCTCTCTGGAGCCTCCACTGAACTGTACCCGGAACATACGACTCTTGTTCTGTATGACAAATCAAAAGTTATCCTCAGCAACCCTCGTCACATCACTTTACTTCTACTGTGGGATCTTCCCTTTGTTTGAAGGGGAAGGGGTGTCAATCAGGGAGCAGTTACCCTACACTGTCAATGTGGGCATAGAAAAGCCAGTAATTAGTTTTCTTTTCCCTTTTGGGAGCTGTGCCTCATAATATATTCATCTCCTTCAAGGGACTGACATCAGCAAAAATGGAAAAGCCCATCATAAAGATTAGGAAGGTCACTATACTGACTGCAGTAGAAGATCCACGTTTCATCTTACTTTGGAACAAAGATTTCATGCTGTCTAATTGCTTAGGTGGAGCATCAGTGAAGCTAACAGTCCTGGCTGAACAAAATTTTCCAAACCTGAGTATATAAAAGAGCTAGCCAGACAGATACCACATTAAACAAGCCAGTGAATCTGAAAAACAAAGTGGGGGATCTGGGGACAGGCAAATGTTGACAGCCAATGTATCTCATTAATTTGCAGTGCCCTTTTATCCTTAAAGAGGCCAGACTTACCTACAAATCACACAGACAAATCAATCACGTGCTGCCTTTAATGAGTTGTATGATTTATGTCCCCTGGCAAACCAGCAAATGTGGTAGAGATGCAATTAAAATTTTTAAGTGGCAACTACATCAAATTTATTTTACTGTAAGTTTAAAAATAGAACTAAATTGTAACAATAAACCTATTATTTTAACAGAATTAGTTTCCTTTTTTCTAGTCCAATATCTTCTCTAGTTTTAGAAGACTCAGTTTACCCAAAAGTCACCCCAAATAGGTGATATGCATTGTGTACCTTTATTCAATTTCTTCTGTAAAGAAATTCAGATGCTAACATAGTAACAGTATTTTGTATTTTTTAAATACACAAATCACGTTGCTAACTGGAAAATGTTTATACAGTGAAAGTGAGAAATAGATTTAAGGGACCAGATCTTATAGACAGAGTGCCTGAAGAACTATGGACTGAGGTTCATGACATTGTACAGGAGACAGGGATCAAGACCGTCCTCATGGAAAAGAAATGCAAAAAGGCAAAATGGTTGTCTGAGAAGGCCTTACAAATAGCTGTGAAAAGACGGGAAGCAAAAAGCAAAGGAGAAAAGGAAAGATATACCCATTTGAATGCAGAGTTCCAATGAATAGCAAGGAGAGATAAGAAAGCCTTCCTCAGTGATCAATGCAAAGAAATAGAGGAAAATAATAGAATGGGAAAGACTAGAGATCTCTTCAAGAAAATTAGAGATACCAAGGGAACATTCCATGAAAAGATGGGTTAAAGACAGAAATGGTATGGACCTAACAGAAGCAGAAGATATTAAGAAGAGGTGGCAAGAATACACAGAACTATACAAAAAAGATCTTCATGACCCAGATAATCACAATGGTGTGATCACTCACCTAGAGCCAGACATCCTGGAATGTGAAGTCAAGCGGGGCTTAGGAAGCATTATTACGAATAAAGCTAATGGAAGTGTCAGAATTCCAGCTGAGCTATTTCCAATACTAAAAGATGATACTGTGAAAGTGTTGCATTCAATATGCTAGGAAATTTGGAAAACTGAGCAATGGCCACAGGACTGGAAAAGGTCAATTTTCATTCCAATCATAAGAAGGACCGTGCCAAAGAATGTTCAAACTACTGCATAATTGCGCTCATTTCCAAAGCTAGCAAGGTAATGCTCAAAATCCTTCAAGTCAGGCTTCAGCGGTACATGAACCAAGAATTCCCAGATTTACAAGCTGGATTTAGAAAAGGCAGAGGAACCAGAGATCAAATTGCCAACATCCACTGAGTCATAGAAAAAGCAAGCTAATTCCAGAAAAACATCTACTTCTGCTTCATTGACTACACTAAAGCCTTTGACTGTGGGAATCAAAACAAACTGTGGAAAATTCTGAAAGAATTGGGAATACCAGACTACGTTACCTGCCTCCTGAGAAACCTGTACATAGGTCAAGAGGCAACAGTTAGAACCAGACATGGAACAGCTGGTTCAAAATTGGGAAAGGAGTATGCCAAGGCTGTATATTGTCACTCTGCTTATTTAATTTATATGCAGAGTACATCAAGTCAAACGCTGGGCTGGATGAATCACAAGCTGGAATCAAGATTGCCAGGAGAAATATCAATAATCTCAGATATGCAGATGACACCATCTTGATGGCAGAAAGCAAAGAGGAACTAAAGAGCCACTTGATGAAGATGAAAGAGAAGAGCAAAAAAGCTGGCTTGAAACTCAACATTCAAAAAATGAGGATCATGGCATCCAACGCCATCACTTCATAGCAAACAGGTGCAGAAAAAATGGAAACAGTGATAAGACTTTATTTTCTTGGGTTCCAAAATAACTGCAGATGGTGACTGCAGCATGAAATTAAAAGACACTTGTTCCTTGGAAGAAAAGCTATGAGAGAACTAGACAGTGTATTAAAAAGTAGAGACATCAGACATCACTTTGCTGACACAGGCCCACATAGTTGAAGCTATGATTTTTCCAGTAGTCTTGTTCAGATGTGAGAGTTGGACCATAAAGAATGCTGAGCACCAAAAAATTGATGCTTTCAAACTGCGGTACTGGAGAAGACTCTTGAGAGTCCCTTGGACAGCAAGGAGATCAAACCATCAATCCTAGAGGAAATCAACCCTGAATATTCATTTGAAGGGCTGATGCTGAAGCCGAATCTCAATACTCTGGCCACCTGATAAAAAGAGCCAACTCACTGGAAAAGACCCTGATGCTAGGAAAGATTGAGGGCGTGAGGAAAAGGGTGCAACAGAGGATGAGACAGTTGGATGGCATCGGCTCGATGGACATGAGTTTGGGGAAACTCCAGGAGATAGTGAAGGACAGGGAAGCCTGACGTGCTGCAGTCCATGGGGTCGCAAAGAGTCGGACACAACTTAGTGATGACGAACAATGACAAAAGTGGTGACTTATATGTTAAAAGTGTTCCCACCCTCCTTCAAAATACTTAATTTCAAGTTCTTACAACTAATAGAAAACTCCTTGAAGAAACAAACGTTAAGGATAAGTGCCTGTCTCTTTATGCATATCTTTATGTACACACAAGAAAATGAGGTTTCACCTTCAGGGAAGCGTTGGGTCCATTAAATACTGACTCACAAGTGTGAATGGCATCTCCATGCAGAGATCTTAAGCTGCAGGCTCTGTAGCTAATGTTACAGGGTATCAGCAACGCGATGAAGACATGGGCCCAGTCAGCACCACAAAGGAAGACAGCCGAGAAGATGTGAGAATCTCCCCACCACTAGCAGTGAATTCCTCTAAGCAGAAATTGGGGGTGGGGGAGTATGGACAAAGGACTTCAACACTGCTTTGAAACAAAGAGGTGATACTTAAGGCTGAGGCCAAAGAAAACCATGAAAATATTCTTCGGTGAGTTACAGGAGGTGAGTCAAGACAGTGGGTTTAGGATTATTCCTTTGAATCAGTCTTTTCACATAAGGAATTACATGTCGACTGTTAGCCAATCAGCCAAGATCATTTTGATTACAATTACTGGAAAAAAAAAAAAAAAAAGAAGCCCATATTACAAGTAGGCACATCTTTTACAATCTACTTATTTCAGCCAAAGAGAAAAGAAACAATCTTTATTGCCCCTTGAATTTAAGTTATGTTAAATTTCTGTTAAAGGAACATTTTATTTCTAAATACTTTCAATTTACAGAAAAAAATGTTTGTTTTGCAATACTTGTCTAACTACAAGTTATCCAAGTCAAGAAGCGAAAAAGTTGTGTACCCTTTGCCAAGTAAGGCAAAAATAACAATCTGTTGGCTCAGTATTAATATATCAAAGGATTAAAAAAAGTGAAACAAATAATGATCTTGATAGGAGTTAAAATTTAATATGTAATCCTGATAAAAGTTTTAGTAAATAAACTATAATTGAAAGAGTATCTCCCTAACATGGTAAAGAATATCCAATCAACAGCCAGAAATATTCTTAATGTCTACACACTTGTTCCCATTCAAATCAGCAAGATGTCAAGGATGACTGTATAATTGTCAAATTACAGTGTTCTAGAAGGTCTAGATAATCCAGTAAGGTGAGAAAAGTAGTAAGTATAAACTATGGGAAGAAAATTATCAGATGTTTGCAGATTATAAAATTACTTTCCTAGAAATTAAATTATCAGAGCTAACAATAGTTTAGTAAGGAGGCTAAATTTAAAATACTTCAGAAAAAATCTAGTAATAAGCAGCTATCTTTGGGTAAAGAATACCATTCCAATAACAACAGGCAAAAGGATCCTAAACTTGAATATTTAAAAATCTACATATAAAGTATATGGTATATACACAAATAATCACCTTTAAAATTATATAACTACACGAAATACAAGCATTTAACATGCAATCTCTATACACAGAGAGTCTAAAGATTTTGAAGAGGGAAATTAGGCAAAATCAGTAGACGGTGATTCACAGAAGAAATACAGATGGCTGGCTAACAAACACACAAAAAAACATTCATTCTCATTAGTTAGCAAAGAAATGCAAATTAAAGGAAGATGTTCATTTTTGCTTATCAAATTAGAAATTAGTTTTTAAATTACATCACCCTGTTGGAGAGGATCTGGACAAATAGGCATTTTTACAGATCGTTAGTGCTGTAGAAACAGGAACAACCTATCTGGAGGGCACATTTACAAAATAAACACTCATACTTCCAGTACTTTTATCTCAAGAACTCTGTAAATAAATCCTAGTGAAAATCAAAACATTTTTACAATAGTGAAAAATCAGGAATTTGTTAACCAATTCACGGTGCATCAAAACAACAAAAATACTAGGTAGTCACAGAAAATCATGTTTCAAAGACTAAGAAATGCCTTGGTATAATGTTCCAGATATAATGTTAAGTGAGGAAAGCAGGATACAAAGCCCTCTGTATACCACAATCCCCAAATTATAAATTATCTATATGGCAGACACTGTTCACTGCATGAGGCAATCCACACCAGAGGCTGGAAAAGCCAGAACACTGACTGGCTAATCTTGGCAGATCGGGATGACCACATTGTGCCGTTTCGGTCCCTGAGACAGAAGGAGACATCTTTCGGGGACTGTGGGAGGTAGAGAGCCTTACAGGGAAGTTTATGCTTTCTTTACAAAAGGAGTAGGTGAGGCTGGTTTCCCATGAATGGAAATACGACAGGGCTGCAGTAGCCATTTTGAAACTGTGAAAGAGTCGCCAACGGACCTGCAAAGGCACTGACTCTGGCACAGTGGAGCTGCTGAGCCAACTGCCAGCAGCCGCCCGCTTCTGGCTTGTCCACTTGGTGAGAACAATAACCCTTTATTTTGCGGGGGGCCATTACACCTGGATTTTCAGTCACATGCATCTGAACATTGTCCTGACTGATACAATATACATGCCTAGTAAAAACTTTAAAATGTTAATAATGATTACTTCTGAGCAGTCAAATTATTTCCCCTTTACAGTTATTTTTTAAAAATTTAATAACAATCAGAAAAAAAATTAAAACTCAAATATCAGACACATGGCATAGTATAACTTTTTAGAAGACACATATACTCATTCAATGTGACACCATCGATAGGAGTCAGGAGACCAATGGGTGGTCCAGTTTTCTGATAGCTAGCTGGCTACTGGCTTATGTTGAATTCAGTCCCCTCACATGTAAAATGAAAACAGGGTCTCCTGAATGTTTTGAGTACGTGCTCCAGACCCCTTTGGCAGTCAGATGAAGCCAGAGGATCCCTTCTCAGAACAATGTTTTTAATCACATAAAATATATGAGTTCAAAGGGAACCAATTATACTGAAGAAGTGAAGTCGCTCAGTTGTGTCCGACTCTTTGCGACCCCACGGACTGTAGCCTATCAGGCTCCTCAGTCCATGGAATTTTTCAGGCAAGAGTACTGGAGTAGGTTGCCATTTCCTTCTCCAGGGGATCTTCCTGACCCAGGGATCGAACCCAGGTCTCCAGCATTGTAGGCAGACGCTTTACCGTCTGAGCCACCAGGGAAGCCCAATTATACTGAAGTATACTTAATTTATCACACTATTAACACTAATTTATACTCTAATAAGATATATGCTTCCGTATTGATGTACTCAATAAAAAGATCCAGCAGCAGGACTAACCACCACCATAACACTGGGGCATGATGAGCCTAAATGACACTGAAGACATCTGAAACGGCTAAAAAGTGATATGAAGACATTTGATTTCTACTGGTGCAAATGTGGTCTGATGCCAACAGGCATCGCTGAACAAAATTATAAATTTCAGTGACCTTTAGGTCAGTGAAAATCCATGCAGTTCATGGACCCTCTGAATTCTCTGGGGATCCTCTGGAGTGACTGGTGCTCTGAAGACCTCTTTCAACTCTCAGTCTATGAGCCCAATAAAAATTAGGATCTTTTACCTGAACTTCAGTATTATCTAGTCAGTGAATGTTAACAGATTGGTTTTTACAGTTATTTCTGAAAGAAAATAATACAGGTGATTAGTTTTCGTGTTGCTTTCATGAGGATCATTCTTTATGTTTAATACAGCCAAGTAAGCAAATAAAAAGGAATTTTATTATTTAGTATTAAAGAGAGAAAAATGAAAAGACATTCAGTGAAGCATTTGAAAGCACACCACTTTCAAAATCTAAATAGCAAGACAAACAATGATGTAACTCCACCTTCTCCCAATTTGTGCTGGGAGATAGAGACTGGTCGCAGAGCTCTGTCAGACAGGTATTGACAGATCAGTCAAAGCCCTGGTTCTTCAGCAACATCCCCTTAGTAACTATGCTTCTGCCTCTCAATAGTCCTTGTTTCATGTTTTGCTCAGAATGCAAACCTTTCTTAAACAAATGTGTTCTTCCCAGTACCATTTCACCTGCAAAGAGCAGCTCCTGCACCCACTCCCATACACACTTAGCAGATGAGAAGTGTATGAACAGTTGCTTAAAAACAGTTGGCCACACAGAATCTTACCTTTATTGTTGTTCCAAACAACAGACAATCCATGCGTCTTACAATCTTCAACCAGTTCTTGCTACCAATGAGTGAAAACCCCTCCTGAAACAAAATAATTAAGCAAAATTAGCAACAGAAGCAAAAGAGACAGGAGGAATAGCTGTGATGCCGCTCCTTCCTATTAGAAAGTTGTCTATTTAGTTATTCTAGAACTTAAGCACAACAGAAATGACTCAATATCACCAACTGCCAAGGATGGCACTTCCAAGGAGTCCCAGTATCTCAGTGCTCTTCCTGAGTCATGATCAACATTAATAGTCTCAGCCTGTATTGCTTTTCTTAACCTTTTCATAGAGAAAATCAACAAACTATTTTAAAGATAGCAAATGCCTACAGTCCTATTTGCTATAAAATACAATGTTACACCTCTAGGATTTGGCAAAATATGAGTTTATAATTCCTGGAAGCCAAAGATTTCCATTATACTAATTAAGTTATCTGCCACATCCCAACTATATAGTGAGATTTCTCTATATGAGAATCTTATTTTCAATTCCTATGAAGAATGAAAGCAATTCGGTTTTGGATGCTGAATGTCTAGTTCTTTATTTCAATCTGAAAAAACAAAAAAGGCAAAGAGAGCAGTAGAGGGAGGGCACATAAATCCAAGGGAGGGACAACTGCTGGATCCTAAAGGTGTAAAGATAAACTTTTCTGTAGCTTACTAATAATGTAAATAGAGTGGACTGCCTAATGATTATGGCCGCTCAGGAGAAGTACTTGGCATTTAGTGCTAACTCACTCAGGGAACTGATAAGCTGAAAGTATACAGAATTGTGCAACTGCATTTGCCTTACAATGTTAGTCTACCACAGCCAGTGGGGGCGCTGGAGGGACATGAGATGTCTCCAGCTCTATAAAAACGTTTTCTGAACTCTCAGCAACTCTCTCTTCCTAGATTTGAATATGATGAAAGCTACAAACTGCAAGGAAATTTGTTGTTCAGGAAACTGTGGGTTAATTTCTTGACTTTTTTTTTTTTTTAAATGGAGGAAAAAAAAAGAGACCATTCTAAAATGTTGATTCTAAGAATTCTATCATTAATAGGAGTCTTTTTTTTTTTTAATGAAAAAACAAGTCAGGCAAACCATTTGTGATTTCTTTTTAAAACTCTCTCAGAATCAGCAAAAAGAAACATATTCATTATTATCCCCAACATGTAGAAACTTGTTTAAAATGGAAGTATGTGGGAAACTGGAGCACACATACATTGCTAGAAGGAGTGCAAACTGGTACACTCTTTTTTTTTTTTTAATTTTTTTTTTAATTTGTTTAAAAAATATTTTAAACAAATCTTTTAAAACAATTCCCACATAAACTTACAAGAGAAATTTAAAATGAACTAGGACATAACATTCTAAGCTCACAGGCAAAAGAGCTAAAAATATGCCTTACTTGTATATTTACTATGAGGTCTAAATATACAAACAAAATCAAAGCAGTAAAGAATATTATTACCATTTGATAAAGATTAGACAAACTATCAATAAATGTAAAAAATACAATGTATTATATGATGAGTTTGAATGCAAAAATCACATATTGATTAAACATATGATTAACTTAAAAACACCAAACCAGTTTGTTTTAAAGTGCTCCTCATCTAAAACCTTGGACAAAACCGTCACTCCAAAGTGAATGGAAAAACAGTTTACAAGGCAAACACTGACGGCATGGACAGGAACTACCAAAAAATGCTATTTGTTCTTTAAATAATGCCATTCTCAAGTTACATAGGGCAGTCACCTTGACAGATTCCTTTTTTATAAATATTCATAAATTTTAAAAGTCTAGATATTCTAAAGAGCTGCAAATATCAATACCTTACAACAGTAGCTTAATAATATCTATCCTGGGAAAAAAGCACTAAAATCCTCTTCCAATGCAAGTCATTTATTTCTCTGGTGAAGTGAGCAAGGTCCCTACAAACATTAACTTCTTTCTATGACAATGTAAGTAACAATACACACATATCTTAAATTTGGTAGGTCATAAAAGTTAGGATGCAATCTTTTTTTTTTGATGCAACAGAAAAATAAGTAAAAATTAAATACTTTAATACAACATTTGGTATTGATAAATCAGTAGTGTCAACTTCATATATGAATGACAGCACAGTCTAGTTTTTTAAAAATCCTCAATGTCATAGTATTTGGGGTAAAAATATCTCGAATATTAAATGTTTCCTTTTTGCTTAAAGGAATATAATACAAACACCATCAAGCTGCAACCATAACTCATTTCAGCTGGGGTAAAGTGACCATTTGGTTCATGGCACAAGTTACATATATCACACTTCTGTCAAACTGAAACCTTAGGTTTATAAGATTTCATGTTTATAAGCTACAATACGCACTGACTAAGCCGTCAGTCCCTCACAGTTTTTTAGAAAAATATCTACATTTGTCCTCATGGATGTCAAAATGTTACACCATTATTTGTTTAAAAAAAAAAAAAGAAAAAAACAGATGCACATTCATACTGTGAAGTTATTAGGAAAATACTCTTGCAAATAAACTATATAAAGATAAAATACACTTCAAAGGTATGTGGGTTGTTTTTTTGTTTGTTTTACAATATTCTATAAAGTGCAGAGAAATCCTAAGGGAAAAACTACTCCCTATAACATAGTTTAATTACAGCAGCTTTTGCATAGCAATACTTAGCGGAAGTTGGACACTTCCGTTTCCTCAGGAAGAGAAGAAGAGGATCTTCTGATTCAGATTTTTTTTTGGCCGTAAATCTGCTTTCTTCAGGAATTGTTGCTGACGCCAAATCTCCATTAAGTGTATTTCTTGAACAGTGAACAGGTCTATCTGGGTCTTCAAGAGGAACATCATTACAAGAGTCTGTATCTGAGTAGGTTCTTCGGCGTCGCTGGGAGAATCGGTGAAGTGAAGACACTGGTTCTTTTATAGAGTGGCTACTCTTCTCTGTACTGCAAGAACCAGGATGGCTGACAGAACGCTTCATCATTTGAACAGGGGAAGGCGACACAGGAGAAACTAAAGGATCCGGATGGGACAGCTGAAACATCTCGGGTTTAAACTTGGCATTCGCTATCTTCACACATTCCTCAAGCGTCGTGATGAATGTATTACACGTGGCACTAAGGAGAGACGAGGCTTCATTCATGTTCTCTATGCTGAGCGATGAATGACTCTCATCATGGTGAACAAATTCTTGGATCGTATGAACTTGCTTCATTAGGAGGTCACAGTACAGGCGAAGTTCAGACATTTTGGTTTTCAGAGACTCACTGGTTTCACTTATTTTTCTTTTTTAGTCCTTGTATCAGTCAAACAGGCTTTGGAGCTCCCCAGAGCAACCAGCCACCTCTGTCTCGCAGCTGCATTCACTGCCTTCATGTAGAAATGCTGCTCTCCTAGAATGATTAATTCCATTCTTGTGTTGTCAGCTGAATGGACTTTAATTTCACAAACTGCCATCTTTATACTTCCTTTGCTCCCCTTGCAAACGTCATCTTGAGAACCATAGTAGGACAGGATTCCATTATCTAAAACAAAGCAACGAGGCTGCCAACCAGTGAGATAGTTGGTCCACTTGTAGAGAACCCCCTCCATGCTTCACAGCCCTGCGCCGCGCATCCTCCCGGCCCAGCGCCGGCCGAAGTGATGGGGGAAACGCAGAGCATGGGCAACCCCTCCCCGCCCGCCCGGGCCCCGCCCCCGGCGCCCCCAGCCGGCACCGAGCCGCCCTCAGGCCGCGAGCGCCGCAGGGGCAGGGACGTGGCGGCCCTCAAAGGCCCATACGGCGGCCGCTACGTGGAGCTCGGGGGCCTCGAGACGTGGGCGCAGACATCCCCGGGCTAGCCCCGGAGGAGGCGGCAGCAAAATCGCGACCCCGGCAGGCCTCCCGCTCGCGTTTCCGCTGCCGAGCGCTCCCTCCTTCTAGCCCCGGTACACTCTTATGGAGGGCAATATGGTGTTACCAGAACTATGAATGCTTTTACTCTTTAACCCAGCAACCTCTGCTGGACTGAGGATTCCCTTCATAGATCAACTTGCACATATGAAGTGATGCATGGATAGGGTTAAGCATCTCCATATTTTCAATGGTAAAAGATTGGAAACAACTCAAGTATACATCAACAGTGGACTGGTTAAATAAAGTATGATACGCTATGTAATGAAATACTATACAACTGTTAAAAAAACCCCAAAAACCCCCCCAAACCCCCCAAAAAACCCATGATGCTCTATGTCAGTGCTGTCCAGTAGAAGTATGACTTGAACCACCTATGTAATTTTAAACTGTCTACTAGCTACATTTTAAAGGCATAAATAAACTGGTAAATTTTTAGTATTTAATTTAATACATCAAAATGGAGTAGGAAATGGCAACCCACTCCAGTATTCTTGGCCTGAAGAATCCCATGGACAGAGGAGCCTAGTGGGCTAGTCTATGGGGTCATAAAGAGTCAGACATGAGTGAGCGACTAATGTATCAAAACATGATCAACAGGCAAACACTGTAAAACATTATTAAGATAGTTTATGTTCTCTTTTTTTTTTGGTACTGTCTTTGAAACCCAGTGTGTGATTCACACTTATACTACATCTCAGTTGAGATGTTGTATTTTAAATGGTTAACGTGAAATTAAATTCTACCAAATCAACAGAGTTTAGTGGGAAAATATTTTACAGTGCTTTAATTTTTAAACCTAAATTTTAAATAAAAGTTAAAATTCTGTTTTTCAGTTGCACCAGTCACATTTCAAGTGCTCAGTAGCCACGGATGGCCTACAGCTCCCTTCCCGGACAGTGCAGGTCTTTATGTATTGATCTGTAAGGTACACCGTTCTGCTGAAAAGCAAGCTACAGAACAATGTCCAAGTCAATGTTATTTTGTATAAGGAAAGGAGGGAACATACAAGGTATATTCTTATTATTTGCTTGTATTTACGTTTTAAAAGGGCTTCCCTGGTGACTCAGTGGTAAAGAATCTGCCTGCCAATGCAGGAGTCTGGATCTGATCCCTGAGTCAGGGAGAAGGAAATGGCAACCTACTGCAGTATTCTT